GAGAGAGAGAGAGAGAGAGAGAGAGAGAGAGAGAGAGAGAGAGAGAGAGAGAGAGAGAGAGAAGGCTCTCTCAGGAGCACCTTTCCATTGACGGGTGGGCATCGCTTTTTTGACCGCACGTCAGCCTGGATTCCACTTTTTACACTAACGAATGTTTTCCTAAATGCTTTCGTGCTGCGGAATCTGTACGGATCCGTTTGTGCCAGAGAAGGGAGGGAAAATGACACATCACAGAGATTCACAGGATCCGTTTGTGCCACAGAAGGGAGCGAAAATGACACATCACATCACAGAGATTCACAGTGACACAGTGCACTGGGTGGAGACGTGGAGACGCTCTCTAACTCTCTCTCTCTCCCCTCAGTTTGTTTTCTATCCTCCCGTGCTTCTGTCCTTCTCTCTATCTCTCTCTCTCTCTCTCTCTCTCTCTCTCTCTCTCTCTCTCTCTCTCTCTCTCTCTCTCTCTCTTCCTGTGCATGCACAGATGCGCGCATGGACAGGCTTGGCACGCCTTGTTTTTCTGAGCCCATATGTTGCGAAGCTCAAAGCTGCGCGTCGCCTTATCATGCCTGCCTGAGCACGGTTCTCGTTCCACCCTCTTCATTTGTAAGGCTGGATTTAGTCCAGAGAGTCTTCTGTGAATATGTGACGGACAGTCACGTCATGTGGCTTTAGTTGGAGGTACAAAGCAAGTATGAGGAAAGGGAACGGCAGACTGATCATTGGTAGTGTCATTAGTGCCATGTACGAGAAGAATAGTCGCAAATCTCCGCTCAGTCAAACAACTCCACCCGTATCGAAAGCCCGCTCATTATCGTTTGATCTGGATTGAAAACAGCGAAAATTGCCCCAAGTGAGGCTTCATTACCGCTCATAATGATCGGACGTTCTATTTGTGTGCTGACGCTACTGTTGAAAACGCCCCTGAACCGAGCAATGTTGGAGAATCGCAGTCCACAACAAGAAAATCCACGAGGAGATTGACAGAATTCCACACCCCTCCATCATCAAGCTCCATGATTTAGAAACTATAGCAGACTTTACTTTAAGCCATTCATCGTTGTTGTGGGTTTATTTTCTGGAACGCAGTTATTCCCTTCCTTCACAATAGCAATAGACCAATATGAGAAATAATTAACCATCCCAATCACAACAACTTGTATGCCGCCAGCGCCTGATTTATCGTTGACGTCTCGTAGGTAGTGTGTTGAAAATGAAAGGGTTAATAACACTCGTGTTATACACCACTGCTCGCCGCCGGCGCCTGATTTATACCTACTAATAGCCTGATTTATCGTTGACGTCTCATAAAACATCGTGGAGAAGGGGAAGTTTGACGATCAAGGAGAAGGATAAAGTCTTACGAGACGTGGAGAAAGGGAAGTTTTACGAGACGTCAACGATAAAGGGAGTCCACAGGTTGCCGACACTTGTATGTCTCGTTTTTCTCAATGCCTTCTTCTTTTCTGATGAGTGGTGTATCGCTTTACTCCTCCCGTATTTGTATATGCAGAATTATATCTTATACATACATACATCATATATACCCATCACATGATATTGTATATACATAGGATATATGACACAGCAAAAGACAACACATCGGCGTCTCAGAGAGAGAGAGAGAGAGAGAGAGCAGATGAATCACGCCGTCCGAAACACAACCGTTTTCAGAAGACAAAATTTCATTGGGTATTTTTATCTTTCCAGAATGGACATGGCTTTTAAATTGTGAGAGGCCAACATCTGGCCCTAATACAGAGAATCGCCAACGGTCCTCGGCTTCCCAAGTTCCCAACAGGCCAGCGAGCTACTGACGTCTGGAAGAGAGTTTGACGACCTCGCATTTCACCAGAACTCAGTGAACTAGCAGATATGCGGACCGGCGCGCCGCAAACATCTATTTAATACAAAAAAAACTATGGGGGAGGGAGAAAACACACTAAACTTCCGTCATCGTTTCTCCATCAGAACTTCATCTTACTCTACAACCGAGCACCTTTGATGCCAAGCAGAGAAATCTGACAAAAATTCTCTCTGCGGCACGCGCACCGAAGGGTTTTCTTGAATCTTTGCTCAATGCCGAGGATCCGGCCATCGTCGACGTACTGACGCTCCTCCTCCTCTCGGCGTGAAGAACTAAACACACGTTGATCCTTTATGCAGCTACTCCTTCTGACGTAACGTTTACCACGGTTGCAACACATCAAGGTGATGATCGATGCCAAACCGCAGCTTCTATCGCCGCTGCGACTCGTGGGCAGCTGGCGTCTCCTTCGACTGATTAAGTACTCTACACTCCTGTTTCCTCCCGCAGCGGACTACCTGAATCCAGTCACCGCAACGACCCCACGGCGACAACCCACGGTCTGCTGGCGGCCACAATCTACCTTCCGCCTTCTGCGACGCTGGTGTCTCCTCACCGCCAGCGCCTGATTTATCGTTGACGTCTCGTAAAACTTCCCATTTCCACGACCGACGTTCCAGGGATCGACGTGGAGACAGGCCACCTCCCCCGGGGGCCTCCTCCTCTGCCGCCGCGCCATCGCACGGCCCCCTAATGCGTCCGCTGGCAGGCGCTTCCTGGTTGTCCTGGGGCGTAATCGGCTGCGAGAACGTTGCCTCGATCGATCGAAGCCCCTTGTCAGCGCCATGACCGCGTTCCCATCCCAAGCCATCGACGAAGACATCCCGTGCGGTTGCTCGGTCGCCCGGGCAAAATGAAAACGCGACTGACCCAGGGCGACTTGCAGCGTCCTGCCATCCCTCGGAGCAAAAGGACGTGGGAAGATCAAGCACAAGTCGAGGAGAGGCTTCTTCTTCGTGACCCTTGAGCAAACGTGAGGCGCATGTCAATTCCTTTCTTCCAGGGCTCCAGCGCATCTCACCACCTTCTTCGGCGTGATCTTCTTCCACCATAGTCCCCCTACTGCCACCCCCCAAAGGGGGCGAGACCAACTCTTCCGCGGGTGCTCGTTCCGCGGTCAAGGGGAAACCAACGGGGTCCCAGTTTCCCGCCACGGGGTCAGCGGCGGAGCTTCTTCCGCCGCGCGCACGCGCGACTTCTTCCTCTCCGTCATCGGATAAGACCGGGACATCAAGGAGCTGCGAAGCCGACCACCTGCGGGATGGATCTCCGATGACAGAGGTGGGGGCAAAGCTCAGATCCCCGCCGACGCTGGCGGAATCTCCCCTCACCACATTGACCTTTCCGCCGTCCAAAGGTGACGAGACCAACCGTTCCGCATGGACTCGATCCGCAACCAGCGGGAAATAAAGAGGATGGTGGTTGGTGAGCGCCACGTCCGCAGAGCTTCTCCCGCAGAGCGCAGAACCGACTGCCACGTGTCCAGCATCGGCGACGAAGGGGTGCTCGAGGAGCTGTGAAGCCGACCACCTGCGGAAAGGCTCTCGGACCAGGCACTTGGAGAGAAAGTCTTTGGCCTCTGATGACAGATGACGCGGGAAAGCAGGGACTTCGTTGGTGCACGCGATGCGAAACAGCGTTGACATGGTGCCCTCCACGTCCTCCCACGGCGCTCTGCCGGTTGCCATCTCGATAACCGTGCATCCTAACGACCAAATGTCCGCAGCCCCTTCCAGCGTGTCGCTCTGGAAGGCTACCTCGGGAGCCATCCACTGAATGGTGCCCGCGAGGGGTATGGATTGCAGTGTGCAAGCGGCTGCCTTCTCCTGCGATACGTCCTCCATCGGAATGGACGAATCCTGCGATAGACAGTCGACGTCAGCACCAGGGTCCCCGCAGACGCAACATGAAGACCCGAAGTCAGACAGCTTGGCGGTTACCCCACCCTCCTCGTCGACCATCACCAAGACGTTCTGACCTTTGACGTCCCGATGCACCACTCCTCGGGAGTGCGCGTGCTGCAATCCGCGCAAGATCCCTCGGCAACATCGCCGGATCATGGACTCGTCCAGCTTTCCGCCGAAGCGCTTCGAGAAGTCCGCCAGGCTTCCCCCGTTCGCAAGCTCGAGGAACAGGTTGCGCATCATGTACCCGTCCTGGGCGACTGTCCAGTCGTCCCCAAGGTACTGCACCACGGAAGCAGACGGACCCAGCCGCCTTAGAATGGTGATCTCGTTCTCCAGTGCACGGAGCTTGGCCATCGACATATGCGCCACCAAACTCGCTGGATCGCGAACGGCCTCCGGTGGAATCCTGACTGTCTTCACGGCAAACTCGGCGCGTGATCGTCTGTCAAATGCGTGATGCACCCGCCCAAACGACCCTTGCCCGATTACGCTTCCGCGCATCCAGCACGGTGACACCCTCTCGTCGCTCCCGCAATAAACCGTCACGCTGCCACATTCGCGGCCACAGGTATAGCCCGCCGTGCTGGAGCCATGCGCGGCCATGACAGCGCTGCACGCCTCAGCGCAGCTCAAGAAAACCGTTCGCACACACACACAAACACCCACCCACCCCCACACACACACACAAACACACACAGAGCACACACACACACAAACAAACACAAAGAGAGAGAGAGAGAGAGAGAGAGAGAGAGAGAGAGAGAGAGAGAGAGAGAGAGNACACACACACACACACACACACACACACAGAGAGAGAGAGAGAGAGAGAGAGAGAGAGAGAGAGAGAGAGAGAGAGAGAGAGAGAGAGAGAGAGAGAGAGAGGTCTGTGTTTAGATTCAGCAGGTTCTGTGTGCGCGAAGCACGCGAGCTGGATGAGTCGAGGACGTTCAAAGGCACAACCGCGATCTTATCTTACACTTCTCATGGCGGGGAAGTAGGAAGTAGGAAGATTCTCTCGAGAGCTAATGAGGATTGTTCTGCGACATCGTCGACGATCCGCGGAAAGGACAGCAGGGATGACGACAGGATAGACGTTGGCATCGTGAGCTCGAGCTTGCAGTAGAATTCCGCGCAATGTGGAGAGAGGGCGTTAGCTGCGCAGCTAAAGCTTCCGCACAGCAGTTGCACCCCGCAGTGTGGCATGGTCTCGCTGTGCAGAACAGAGCTCCGAGCGTGCAAAGTACTACCGCTGTAGAAAGGGAGCACAATTGCACCGTTGCGCAAGCAAGAAGATCTAGAGGACTTAACGGCTATTGACGGGACAGATAAGAGAGTAATAAGAGGGAATTTTATAATCAGGTCAATGAAAGGAGACCTGAGCTACGACAACAGTTGTAGTACTACGACTTCAAAAGATCGAAAAGGAATAGCGATCAATATCAGGATGCAGGAAGGGACGCGCGCGCGCCGAAGAAAGGTAGTATCAGAATTTGGAAATGGACTTACGCGCGAACGAAGCTTTGGGCCTCGCCACAACACTGTCGAAATGGAAAAAGTACGAGTGCACCTTCTTCAGAAAGTGGCAAGATGCGTCCCTTGCTATTCATAGTAACGGATGCATCTGGTCACACACCCCGGGACCGTGCACTTGTACTTTTTCCGATTCGACAGTGGTGTGGCGAGGCCCCTTCTAATGGCCAGGCTTTGCGGCTTCTGCCTTCCCCCCTCACGCAAGAAGTCATTGACAAAAAAAAAAAAAAAAAAAAAAAAAAAAAAAAAAAAGAATTCATTGACCTGCACCCAAGAGCCTAGCTCAGTGGGTACACCCATGAACTGTTGAAATACAGACCCGTTCGAATCCAGATGATGATCGAAGTTGATGATGAATAAAACCAAATATTCCTGAATTGCCCGGGGCGGTCAGCTCTATGATGATATCTCAAGGCCGTCCCCCTTTAAAAAAAAAAAAAAAAAAAAAGAATTCATTGACCCTGGGAAGAGGTCGGCGCTTGAAACTACCTACAAGAAAACACCCTCCAGTTTTTATTTATTTTATTTTATCGCAATTCCTGACCATCAGCAAAAAAAAAAAAAAAAAAAAATCCTTACTGGTTCCAGCTGGCCACATCTGCAGCCGACTACGTCTGGTCAAATCACGGAGCCTCACCGCGAATATGGGCCTGGCCTCGCTGCACCCCCCGCCAACCAAATCCACGACAGGCCAGAATTTATGGCGGTGCACCTTTTCTTTAACCAGCCCACTTTTGTGTCAATCTTGTGTCAAATCTGCCGTACCTACTTGTTCTTTTTTTGCAAAACTGCCATCATTTATTCTAGGAAAGAAAAGAAAAAAAGATTCAGGCCCCCGCCACACCGCTGTAGAAACGGAAAACGAAGGAAGGCATCGTCCTCCGGCCCGATGCTATTTTTAGTAACGGATGCATCTTGCCATCCTCTGCAGAAAGATGCGGTCATACTTTCGTTTCGACATCGGTGTGCCGAGCTCTCATTCTCATTTTGCACATTTGGTGAGTGGTGGAGGGATGGAGAGATTTCGCTTGCACATTTGGTGAGTGGTGGAGGGATGGAGAGATTTCGGTTGGCCATGTCTGCAGCCGAGAGACTTCTGGTCAAATCAAGTAGTATAGCGCGAAATTGGGCCTCGCTCCACACCCCCCGCAACCAACGAGAGGCTCCTGCTCAACTCGAGTAGCTCGAAATTGGGCCTCACTCCACCACCCGCCAACCAAATGCACGAGAGGAAAAAAATATTTATTTACGGGTGTGCACCTGTGCATAATCTGTGGGAAGATTCATCATTCTCATTCTAGACGTTTGGTAAGCCGTGGACCGAGGCCCTACCAGTTTGTCTATTGGTGCTGCGTTGGACTCGACTGCAGCCGACGATTTAAAAAAAAAAAAAAAAAAAAAAAGGGCGATGGCCTTGAGGTATTATCGTCGACTAACCAGCCCATGTAAATTCAATCTTGTGTCTAATCTGACAACGGCCAGCCGACGATTCTCGTCAAATCACTTGTCGCGAAGACGTATCGAAACGTGAAAAGAAGACAAAAATATGGCAGGCGCATCTGGCCGTGTTCTAAGAGGAAGTGCGTTCTCATTTTGCACATTTCGAGAGTCCTTCGGGACTTCCGTTTGGAACGACACACAGAAGAATAGCATAGCATGGCCCCTGCACTATAGAAAAAATAATAATAATAAAAAAATCTATATTCTTCAATCAATCTTATTGCTGCTGCGCTGGACACGACTGTACGACCTCCCGTCAAATCACTTGTCGTGAAGACAGTGGACTATCGAAGATTCAGAGAAGAAAATATAGCTTTTTAAACTTTTTTTTAATAATATATATATTTTTATTCTTGCGGAAGGGCCATACTAAAATTTTCTCTGTATCGTTCCAAACGGATATTCCGAACGACAGACGGTATCGCCACACCACTCTCGAAATGTTCAAAATGAGAATGAACTTTCTCCTGGAACATGGCCACATGCGGCCCCCACACGTTTCGAGATGGGTGTGGCGAGGCCCAGAGAAAAATATGGATTCGTTTTATTATTTTATGGAAGAAAAAAACAAATTGTACACTATCGCCACCGTCGTAACCCAACGGCCATTTTGTCATCGAGAGAACTGCTGGCGCCACACCTACTGACCTCACGATCTGAATCGATTGGTGGGGATTGGCCCCTAAGAAAGCGGAATGGAAGGCAGGCCGCTTCGTTCTTTGTGCTGAAGCTGGCAGACGTCCACGGAGCTAAGTTCATTGTTAAATATCTGACCGAAATTCGAAACTGCATAATGCCTAGCTCAGTGGGTCGACCCATGACCTGTTGAAATGCAAACCCAAGTTCGAATCCCGGAGCAAATGAGGTTCTAGATGATGAAAGAAAAAAATATATATATATTTTGTGACGATATATATATTTGTAAATTCCCTGAATTGCTTAGGGAGGATCAGATCCTTGCGATGATATCTTTTTTTTTTTTTTTCCTATATTCTTCTCTCAACTTCTGTTTTTTGGCCTTTCACTACCTACTCCTAAGGCTATCTAGAGGGGACCCCTGCAAGCATAGTTTCCTTTCACTGTGAAGGGGAGATTTCATGTTGCCCCTTGCCCCTAATGGTTAGGGTGTAGGGTTGGGGCCGCCAGTGGGGGTCTGGCTAACTCTGGCTAAGGGCATTGTTAGACACTCCTCCAGCCATCCTCGGAGTTCGAGGACGGATCCTCGGAATTTTTTACGTTTTTTTGAGGTGTCGTTCCACCTGTCCTCGGAGAATTGCCCCGAGGACGAATCCTCGGGGCCCTCCCGCGGCCAGTTTCATGATATTATACATGGCCGCGAGGGTGTTGTCCGGCCTTCAATTCGGGATGTCGGTGTTGGAGGCGTGGTGGTCCAGCAGGCGGACGGCGGTACTACGTCACGGGGCGCGAAGAAGAAAATCGCCAACACGGGAACAGCCCCGTTCGAATTTCAAAATTCGAATTTGCGCCCTGCGGAGCGACGGTGTGGCGGCGCACACGCGGGTCGGCGAGGAGGGGGGGCAGTGCACGCCGCGAAGGGTTTTGGCTGCCATGGCATTGCGCACTTGAGTGGCGCCGCACCGCCACCGTCTCCAGGGTGTTCGACGCCGCGCCGCGCTTCGTATGCTGCCGGCAGTTGCGCTCGTGACGCAGAGGGGCACGGCGGTTCCGTACTTCAGCGGCGGTGGGCGGACGCTCCAATCGAGGTGGAACATCGTTAAGCACGGCTGCATTGCTCACCTGATTGCAGGCGCCTTCAATCGCAGTGGGAGAGGTGCGCATAGGTGGGTGGCGAGGAAGGTTGCTTTTCCTGTCTAAAGAGCGAAATGGAGGGCTGCGATCACGATGGTCGTGCTGTGCTGTCCAGTGCGGAGAAGACAACTGTCACGGCGACTGCTGTCACAATTGTCTGCCGATTCCAACTAGAGAGGGCGGCTGGGCGCATGAAAGTGACGCTTTCCAGGCGGCGGCAGAGGCTTCTGCTGCAGAGGGTGTTGGACGCCCCGGACTGCGTTACCAGTTCTGAGGCAGTGCTTCAGCTATGCTTTGCAATAGGGTGTGGTGTGCTTCCTCGGTCGACGCCACGTTGGTGGATGAGGCGGAGAACTGGCGGGACTTGGGAGGATTTGCGGCTCTGCGGTAACGCGAGGGACGACTACTTCCAGGAAAAGCTCTGCATGTCGAGGAGAGTTTTCATGGAGATCAGCGAAGCCTGTGCACCTCTCTTGCAACGACAGGTGACGTTCTACAGGGAGCCACTTCCGCCAGAGCAGATCGTCGCCTATGCGCTATACAGGTGGGCTATAGGAGAGTCATACGACATTAACACCTCATCTTTCGGCATAGGCAGAGCTTCCGGAATGCTGGCCGTGCGCGATGTGACAAACGCTTTGTTGAGGTTCTATGGGGACAGGATATCGTGGCCGACGGGGGTGCGGAAACACGTCGTGCTGCGGGCGTTTCTAGACAAGGGCTTTCCAAACTGCCATGGCGCAGTTGACTGCACACACATCTACGTGGACAAACC